AAAGTTTATTTTAAAAGTATTCCATCAACGAAGTTTCACGTAGAAATTACAACAATTGATCTTCTGTTTACAGGTTGAAGTAATTTTTTTCAAGGAACGCCGTATACTTTGCAGAAGCGAAATAATTAGATATATTTTGAGCTTTTCATTTTCTTATGTTAATGTCTTGATATTATTCCAATACCAAAACTGAAATATCAAATTCCAATTAACATTTTCATATATACATATTAGAAATAATTAAAAAAGAAAAAAAGACAACACATTGTTTTTTTTTAACTCTTTAGAATAATACTTTATTCTTCATGTTGTTTCAAAGTTGATAATATTAGATTTACTTTAATTTATTTAAATTTTATTTCCAATTTCATGCAAATTACTTATATTTGTATGCATGCACTCACGTAAATTTTGACACAGGTAAATATATAATTATGCATATATGAATATATGTGTGTCGAATCCGGGGTTCGGATACTATCTCTTCGTGGAGTTAAGATGAAGGACAGAGGTTAATTGAAATTTATTCTGTTGTTCGTAGAGTATCAAGACAATGCATGCTTTAAAGGAAAATTAAAAAAAATAGTATTATCATATATATATATATATATATATATATATATATATATATCTGTAAGAAACAAATATGAATAAAGTGAAAGAGAACATTTACTTATCTGAATCGTCTCGTTCTCTGAAAAACATTATTAAGCCAAGCATAATTTAATTTTTTGCAATAAGTATTTATAAAGTAAAGTAAAAATGATATTGTTTGCAGAATTTTAAAAGTTAAGAAAGGCAATAAGTATACTTTAGTGTGTGTTCTTAAATTGAATGTTTCTGCTAATCTAAAGACATTATTGCTTCTGTTACAACATAATTGTTGCAAAATAAGAATCCTTACGTTTGCCTTAGTAAAGTCTATGAGTGAACGAAACACATTGACTAACATTTAAATTTTCATTTTTACTTCATATATATATATATATATATATATATGTAATACATTCAAAACGTGATGCATTTCTAAGGTTTTTTATGGGAGAGTTCACACATTCACAACAGACAAAACTTTATATAACGAAATTCACTAAAATCAGACTCATTAACTTGCGATGAAATAACTTGAAATAATTGAAAAATAATTTGTTTCCGGAATCTCATAATATAAATTTCTGAACCTCTATCACGTCTAACATTTAAATGATACAGAAAACACTGACTTAAGGGGGAGCACTAGGTCCACGAACGAAGTCTATAGGTAAAATCGAATTTGTTAAAACAGGCACACACTTCCGACTTATAGGACTGACACACGTATATGCATATACTTATATATATATATATATATATATATATATATATATATATATATATATATATATATATATATATATATATGTATGTATATATATAAATATGTAGACACAAAGAATTAAGGAAACTCCGAAAAGCATGCAGGCAGTTAATCATCAATCGACATTCAACATTCGATTACCAGCCTTAGGTGTTAATTTATTTTTCAGGTTATTTGACTCTTTGTCTATTCACATCAAACTTATCGAATATTTAACTTCAGTCATAATTTTCGAAATTAGCTTAATCCTTAATGTTTGAAATATGATGATGGAAGAATATATTTCCAGTATCTGCATTTTGTGTGACTTTATGTATGTAGTTTTCTCTTGTTTATCTTATTGTATGGCGATACAAGTAAACATGTTTATATCTTTATTAATATGCAATATGCGTGCGTATTACGTAAAAGTGTGTGTATTACGGCATGTATAACATGCATTGGTCTGTAACACATAACCTCGTATGTATGTTTAATATATGTATGTGTATACACACAAAATATATATATATATATATATATATATATATATATATATATATATATATATATATATATATATATATATATATATATATATTATATACTTGTGTATATGTATGGATATTCCAGTACGTATGGGTGATAGCTTGATTCACGAGGGATTTTGATATATATTTTAATGCTTGTTTTTGCGCCGTTTGCGCTGTCAGTCAAACCTTAAATATTCATTAGCGCCAACATTCGACATCTACTCGTACCTTACATGCCAATATATTAATCGAAGAAGTGGCCAGGAATTATGTTCCTAACAAACTTCAGCGGTTTTTGTTTTCGGATTGATCGATTATGATTATTTATTGACTACAAAGGAAAAGTTAATGAGTAGTTTCATTAGTTTACTTGGTAAATTATTGGCTTCCTCGTTATTAAATAATTACATCTTTAATTAAAAATTACCTCTTTGAAACCAATAATATTTTGTCCTTTCTGAATTTACACATCAAGAAACATATCTGAACTCAATAAATGTACAATAAATCAATAAAATCACAAAGATGTTTCTAATTGATTGTTGTAGAATGCCGTTACATTTCGACAGGCGTCATACTTCCTGGATTCACTTATATATTTCCCTATGTATAAGGATTTTTATGTTAGAATAATGCGTGAGTATATTGTCGTTTCATAATTTTCTTTAAGCTTTCATTTTAACCTTCTGTAACCTCAACCTTATATCTTTAATATTATTTTCACATATTTTTAAATCATTAGAGTAAATTTGAATTAAATATAAAATATATGAATGAATTTAAACGATGCTTTACATATGGTGAACTATTGTGTATTTTCCATGGTTGTTAACAATCAGACGATAATGAAAACTAGCATTTAGTAAAATACTAACGAAATAAGACACCTTAGCTGAGCATACGGACAGGTAAAACAAATATAATTTCTTCCTTTATTATTATTCATGGTTTCGCTCGTGCCATCTGTTCAGCTTTTTTTGCAGCAATGAGCAAATCCTTTTGAACAAATATTACTTCTTTTCTTTTTTTTTAAATATGTCTTTTTGCAACAGATTTTCGCATAAAGACCAACAAATAATACATTTATTTTATTTTGGTGAACATAATTAAATGTTGCCATCTTATAATGTGTTCAATGTTCAAGGATATATTTTTCATCTTTTTTTTATTTATTTATTTTAGTTTTTCATCGAAACTATGGGGGAAGGCGTATCAATTGGTAATATGTTTGATCCCCGAAACTTATCGAAACACAATTTGAAATGATTGATTCTTTTATTCATTTTTGTAGCAGAATGCGTGCTGACGATGACAATGTTAGACTTAAAGAATTAGTTTCTCTCTTCTGTATAGTTATAATATTCATATTGAGAGACAGTTTAAATTGTAAGAATAATGGAATAATTGAATGACTATCGAATACTTCCAGCGACACAAGTCTCTACTTTGTTGTCAGAGGATGTCTCTCATTATAGATGTTTTGCATTATCTTTTTAGATGTATATAACCATTTCGTAGATAATTAAATGTGTATCGTAATCAGCTCCGCTGATAAAATATTCGTATTTTGCCCCTTTAAATCACATGATTCAAATATATTTAAAAGCATTCAATGAAATTAAATTCATGTCCAAAATGTAAACATCTCTGAACCTATGCATAATTGAAAACTTATTATTTAATGAAAAGTTTATGTTTGTGTGTCTCTTTGAGTTTATATATATTTACGCGGGCATGCGTCGCATTTTCTTCTGCGTGTAACAGAAGACATATTTATACACAAGACGATAACCATTGAACACGAATTGGAACACTAATCTCGGAGGCCATGGTTAGTGTAATGTGCTTGATCCACATTACCAGTCTACATAGTTGTTCCTCTGTGGAAATTTCATATAACATCTGTATGTCTCAATACGAAAAGTTATACTTATATATGTTATATATTTTATATTTGAGAATTCTTGCCAGTCGAACATTCTTTAAGGATTTCACAAGTAGAAAAAATATTGCATTAAACTTTGTCAACAGACACCGGCATTTCATTGCTATCTACATTGCAGGAATTGAAAATTACATATTCAAAATTGATAAATTCTTTTATCTTTTTATATTTTATAATTTCCAAGTATTCATTTATTATAAACGAATGTATCAACTATTGATTTTATTATAGAACATTGGAAAATAAACTTTATATACAGCGAAATATATTTTACTTTGTGATAACATTGTGAGCGAATTAAGCAGTCTCGCATCGCGAGACTAAAATATCCCCAAAACTAGCGATTAAATTCGTCTTCATTATCTTAGCACACAAGAAAGTCATATTTACAATCGTATGTATATTCACTTAACTTCGATTTAACAGTAACAGAATGGTCCCTAAATTCTGGAATATATTCTCTCATTCATTCTTAATTTATACTACATAAGACCTATTTTAATTTAAAGTTCATATAACCTATTTTTAAACTGTTGTATGGAAAGTTAATGCTTCGAACTGAAATTCGGAAAGTTTACTTTATTTTGAAAATTGTGAAATTGGAATCGCCTAAGATTTATTATTTAATTACTTTTTCGCTCCGTCGTGAAATATTCAGATTTATACGGGAACAGAATCAAGTATAACAGTTGTTTATTTTCCTAAAACTGTTTTGAATTACTGTTGGACATTATCCAAACAAATACTAAATGCGTACAGAAAGACGGAACAATAGAACTGAATTTGTAATACTTAGAATTGATTAATCAAGTAATATTTTATTAGTCCAGATAAAAATCAACTGCCTATTATGTACGTTTCTACACATATATGAACATATACAATTAATTGATGATTATTATGGTGTTTAAACACGATATGCACATATATGTATATAATTGTAATCAATTACGCAAGATTAGTCTAAACCACGACGACATTCAAACGTATAAACATGCATTCATATCTGTGGTGTGTACGAATGTGTGTACCAACAAATGATGCACATTGTACGTGTAGACAAAAGGTTATATCTAACATTTCATTTTCATATGTTTCGATTTTTCTTTCGCCTTCGCCACCAAATGTTTTAAAACATAAATATGAAAATAAAAGAACGAAAATGCGATTAGACAGAAAATGTATGTCAGGGCCAATTGAAATTGCGTTGCACCATATGGTAAAACTTTGCATTAAATGGCCGATAAAAGTCTCGAAGTCGTTTCAAAACAGTTGGATCAACAGTCGGATGTGGTCTGCCTTTTGTCTTGCCTAGGCAATGCGGGTGACCGCTGCCTTCCGTTTTTTTCAAACAAGGAAACCCTTTCGTCTCGTTAAAATAAAAATGTTTCTCTGAGATAATCCTCTTCAATCCGAGGAAATCTTGAACACGGCTTAACTCCCTGGCCGGATCGGAGATCAATTCTTCGCCGCTTACAAAGTGGATCTGTGAAAGCGGGAAATAGTGTAGCCAACGCTCAAGGAACTTGGCGTAGACTCCGATGCGAATGACGTTCCATGTGGTGTCCACGATGCGAGTAGTGGTGTTGACAAATGCAAGATCCTCAAATCGCTGCATGTGAATTCTCTTGCTAGCCAGTTGGGCATAGTCAGAGATTGCACGCGTTATAGGATCACGCACAATCACGAGGATCTTCATATTCTTCGACATGTTGAATATACGCTTCGGGACTTCCTTGGTAATGAAGTAACTTGGCGTCTTCTCAATGGTCATCTGCCCATCTATTGTTGGTGGCATTTTATTCCTGCAAAAGAAGAAACATAACGGATTAAAAAAACATTTTAATTTTATATAAAATGAAATTTATAATTCCATGTTTGTCAGAAATAGAGAGATCCAACATATATACATTTTTACAAAGATGTTTACAAAGTTCAAGAGCCACTCGAAGTAGAGAGTTACAAATTTCGACGCAGAGATTAGGAGAAGCTAAGTACTGACCAAAGTATTGAACATGATATAACTGTCGTAACCGGGGAAGCGTGTACCTGGGAAGAAAATTCTCAAGTGTAACATACATATCACCAAAGGTATAAGAAAGAAATGAGTGTGGATCGCTACAATGTAGGTGTCCCGTCATGTTATTTCCTTAAGGGTGACTACAGTCATTAACTGAAAATTTTTCAAACGATTTCGTAACAAATAATAAATGATACGTTGTATGGAAGATAGTTAATGTTACACTTTGCTGAACAAAATGTATATTCTGCTACAAAGAAAGATAGTATCGTTAAAACAAGGAAATTCACATATCCTCTCAATCACAAATTAAAGAAAAGTTTGTAAAAAAAAGTGAAGTGAAAAAGATACACAACTGCATAGAAAGAAAGAACGAAAGAAAGAAAGAGAGAGGGGGGAAAGGATATAGAATTGGATAGAGAGAAGATAAATAAATGTGAGAAAACAT